CTTTTCTTCATTCAATGAAAATTTAGTGTCCATTCAGGGTCAGTTTTCCAAATAATATTTCGATTACAATTGCATCGACACTAAGTTAACAGTATCATCGGAGCAATGAATCGTCCAAATAGCTAGCAACTAGCAACTAACAGTAATCATATCCGTAACTCATTACCCAACAATACAAATGCAACCTAAATCTTAACTCAAAGTGGCTCGAATTTAGTTGGGATTATTTATCATAATTTTCAGAGTTATATTCTTGATGGAGTTCATAGGTGAAAAACTATGAGTCATCGGTGGATCATCCAGGTAATGTGTATTATGGTGGAAGGTGGTTCTTTCTTTCATATTGTGGCTATCACCCTTAATCTGGATCCTTTAATTTTCCATTTTGTTTCGCTTAATAAAAGAGACTATCGTAGCCCCAAACCCGATCATCATCACCCGATCATTATCACCCGATCACTATGATACATTCCATACTTGGAGCATTGAGATTCTGCCGGAACAATTTAATTAATTGAGGTTTGGATGTTAAATCGGCCTTCTAGCTAAGTGTCATATTACAAATGACTCGACCGAAGAGGTAAAACATGAAGGATTTGTCAAGAATTTCATTGTACAGCTGTTGGTAAATAGTTTAAACTATCAGATTAATACCGTACACGGCTATTAACTATAAAACTACATGTACATATAAGTTCAATTTGCTACAATTTAATTAACCACGGTCTCTGATTTGCTGTCTGGACTGCAGCAGGCGCCTCTGCAATACATAACAGGTTATAATTATAAACAGCGGCTTACGTAATCAGTGGAGCAACTGTGGTGGCTCAGTATTCTGCACACTATTATGCAGCGTGTATTATGGAGAGGTTTCTAGAACAATCTAGAGCGAGCAACACATTCTAGAAGATTAGTACACGTGTCTAATAACGACAGGAAGGGTCATTCAACTTGATACACAAGTCTCGATGGGGACGGCTAATCGTTGCTGCTGATGACAACTCAGTGGCCGTGGTTGGGAGATCATGCTTACCAAATTGTGTATTATTCTGCATAAATCATGGTTGACTCCAAAAGCTGACGGGCAAAAGTAATGACACGTATAGTGTACACAGTGCACAGAGATATGCAATTACAATACAAAGACATGCATTGTTAGTTAAATAATAGCGATGACAAACTACCAACCTATGTCCCATTCATTTGACAGGGCTTGTTCTATTTCGTGTGTGTTTGAGGTCGTTGCTGGCAGGTTGTTTCTCTGCTGATTATCTAGCACTGAAGTAATAAGAAATGAGAGAATTATAGTCAGCATGCTCAATTAGCTTGCGGTAGTTCGACTTCCCGCGTAACAACCGGTAGTTTGACTTCCCGTATATCAAGCGGTAGTATATGACTTCTGCTTTGTGGTGGCCAATCTCAAAGTTATAGAAGCTTCTCGAATTCTTAAAACTTACCGCCAAAAGTTACAACATTCGTCCTATACAGTATACAATTGATTCATTGGAATTGAAGACCCTACCATATTATCATCTTTTAGGTACTTGAGTTGGGATTCAATTTTTATGGTGAGCTGAAGTTTTGCCAGAATATATCTCATCAGGTGATAGTATGGTTCTAAAGAACTGGAAATTTGTAAAAACTTGAAAGAAGGAACTGAAAAAGAATACTGACTACCGTGTTGCGGAATCTTCTAGCCCACCTACTCACAGCAAATATTGCTTAACAAATTTCTTTAGAAGAAGCTGTCAAAATAAATACGGAAAGGAAAGCATTTAACTTCCGAACAATTTTCCCTATAAGTATAGAGGTCTTATACAATATACACGCCCCGCAGCTATACACGTGACAAAAGATTTGCATCCTGAGCGAGAAATTTCTATCAGTCATATCCACCTAGCTTTTCTTTATTCCGTATTATATATTCCGTATTATATATTCGATGCCAGATTTTACGTGATGTAAAATCTGACAAGATTTTAATCTTAATGAGTGTAGTAAAAGTTGACATTTTCCTCATTTTCTTCTGTTTAGTAGAAGGTAAGAAAATATAGAATACGAGAAAGTTTGTGATTGTTCTAGTATAGAATCTAAGACAACTATTGCTATTATTTGTATGCATGTTTAAATCACTAGTCGCACAGAAAGAAATAGAAAAGGCTGATGACTTCAAAAACACTGAATTACGCAGGAACAAATATACTGAGTCTATCGGACGGTGAGATAGAAGTTTCTGGATTGTATGGGGGAAGTAATGGCTCTTATGCAATAGACGGAGACAGGCTCACAAAAGCTACGATTGTCCCTGACGAGAGAAACAACGCTTGGTTTAGAATAACGCTGTATCAGGTTAGATTAAAGATGCTAAAACGAATGGTACTCAATATTTATCACAGATCACACTAATCTTTTTGGAAAAACTATTCAGCTTCTCCAAGCTAACACTTCATCTCTATTCACGGATCTTATACCCAAGGTTGATTGTATAGACAAAGTGCTGATTTATTGGAAGAGTAGCTACTCTACCTACCAGTGTTCTAGAGACGAAGAAGAGTGTAAGTGCGAGGGGGAGGACTGTTGGGGAGGCACTGTCACAGTGTTCACCAGTCAGGAGATCACATCACCAGACCAGAGCAAGACGAAGTGCGATACCTCATCAGGTACACACTTTTAATTTACCTTACTTACAATTTACATTTAATTAAATAAACTAAAGTACTTGGTCCTAGTTAATGATTTGTATTTTTTCATATTATACATGTTATACTGTTATAAGTTGCACTTAATTAAATAGTAGGTGGGTGGCCCTGGGTTGCTTGGAGCAAATACAAAATTTTTCTCAAAAGGCTTTAACTAAGAAAATTGTTTGCCATTTCTACGGCAACTCTATGCCGAAAGTAGAGGCCTGAGGCTTACTCCGGTTTTTGTGCTGATATAAATATCCTCCCAGACAGTGGCACACTCTGCACCTCCACAATCCGAATAGAGAGCCTTGGTCACAGCTACAATGAAATGAAGATAACGGGAGTCACAGAGATGACAGTCAAGAAGAAGCTGTCAAATGCTGCCTGCACCCTGGGAGTGAGCTACGGGTTTGACGAAGAGAGGATATGGGTAGGCAAAGACTGTAGAGCAGACTTCAGTGTTACCTCTCGTATGCGTTAGTTATTTTAAACCGTTGGTTTAAACTTATAAACTAGTAGGGTATAATCTTATTATCTTTACCTTCCAACAAGTCCTTTGCCAGCTGTAATGCGGTAGAAACCGGTATGTTAAAAGAGGCAGTAAAGGCGGCTGTTATTTTACCCGTCATGTTTCTGTAATCTCTATTGGTCTATGAATTGCTCAATGCTTATTCTAATGGGAAAATTGAATGAAAAATGACAAATTTGGCGGATTATCTTGTACATAATGCGATAGTAAAGATAACCCCAGAAGGAGTGACGAAGAGAGGCTCACTTTGCAAAACGGGGAACATTGTTCAGTTCTCTGAAACACGAGGCTTCAAGCAGAACATATACGAAATAATTCTCATCGGGGGTTCGGGTATGTATACTGTATACTGTATAGTAACTGTAAACTGAACATATATTATAGCTATTTCAATGGTCTAAACAATGTAAAGATGATCCTATAATTACCTTTACAGTTTACAAGGTAGATTCGATGTAAAAGGTTAAATAGTGGTATTAAGGCCACAAGGTTCAGATCTAGGACCAGAAAACAGGATCAAACATTTTTGAGCATAAATTTGAATTGTTTTGTGCATATTATAATAATGTTTTCGCCTCTACCTTTTTACTAACTACACAGTGAGAGATAGGGAGGCACTTAACTCAGATATCTACATTGCATTCATTTTGTGAAACAATTTTCGTGTTTAAAGAGAACCGGAGAACTTGTAATGACTATACTTGGTAAAATTGCCAGAAACTGTAACGATTGCTCGAGGAGCACATTCAGAGCACATTCAGATCGCAACTTAGCCATCAACATTCAACATACATTAATTGTACAAAAGCATTTTTTCACGCAGATTAATAGGAGTGTAAACGACAGCTCAGAATCCCAACTGAGACCAATATTTGTTAATGTTATTAGATGCGTAATCGCTTCAGAGCTTGTTTAATAAATAAATTTATTTACCGGCTATTTACCCTCGCTCTCCGCCACACAAAAGCACTTAACTTGGATGTTCTACTTGAGTAGGTCCCCAAAACAGATAAGAAGGTGGTGTTCTAACAAATTCATCCGTGGAGACGCGACCAATGACCATGTGTAGGGTATTTAAGGAAGAGGTAGACATGTAGACATGTTCATAGCATTTAGAACGTCTGGCCGCTCCCTTTTTAATAAATCTGATTTTTGAATTTCGTTCAAAATCGCATAACAATTTGACGAACCCAGCTGAGGTTCAATGACAGCTCTCTTATCAGTTATCACAGGTCCTAATGTGATCTTCAAAACGGCTCCTTAGTATTATAACATGCTTTGCGTCGTACGGACATTGTTGGTGTTCCGTTCCTTCGTGATTGTGAGGGAATTGTGGAGATAAATAAACGGGGAGATTTATGGAGAAAAAGGTCGACATTATTTAATCCAACTCTGTCCCGTCAGGCGGATAAAAACATCTTTTATCTTCTTCAAACGACTTATCCATTATAATTTATTATCTCCCGTCTGAAATTGTAGGTAAGATTAAGATGCACACCTTTTTGCACCTAATTAGATGATAAGGAAATCTCATCTGTGTTACCATGTGATTTGGATAATATGGGCACTGCATCAGCTGATCTCCGTCTTGGTTGGAGCGAGGCATGTTATTGTATGATCTACAACTGAAATACTGGTCTACAAATGAGTTAAGGGTAATTCAATATGTTTTCAGTGATCGCTGATAACTGATGAAGGTAATTTTTTGATAATCTGTTGTCGCTGTCTAGTGTCCAGCTCACATTTTTTCTGTAGATCAATGTAGTGCCAAAGAAAATTGTCCTATATCAAACTGCTCGAATTCAGAAAATTGAATGAAAATACAATATGTGTTTCTAAATAAACCAAAGAAAATCTGAAATTTAACATAAACTCAAAACAAGTTAAAAAGATAGCATCAATCAGTAACAAAACGTCAATCAAAATAATCTTCAATATCAATGTTTGGATCTAAAATGCTTTCGCCTAGCTGTGAAATATCCATTTGATTGAGTATCAAATTTTCCATAACCTCTTCCAGATCAGTTTCTCCGATGAGGAGAGCACCTTGTATCCTACCATTGGTAAGAACAAGTTTAACAAACTCTACTCCTTCAGTAATCCTAAAATAACACTCACACCCCTCCCACTCCTGAAACCTCCCCAACAATATCACTTTAAACCCAAACAGTTTAGTCGAGTGTGTAAATAACTCAAACGACATGTCTGGCTCGATGAGATCGTCTTCAGAGGCAGCCATGCTGCGAGCAGTATAAAATCCCTGCTGCATTGCTTGAGTCCATAACCTCATCTGCTTCCAATTCTCACATTCCCTCCAGGGGATACTACAAATATCACCAGCAGCAAACACACTGGGTACATTTGTCTGCATTCTCTTGTTTACTATTATACCGTGATCTAGCTCCGAAACTTCAAGTTTATCTTTGAAAAGTTCAGAGTTAGGAATTACACCAGTTGCGCTGACTAAAACGTCTGATTGTAGTGTCTTACTGTTTGTTAATTTGATATTTAGATTGAAATCGTTACTGTCAGTATCAATGCTAACAATTTCACACCCATATTCTATTTCAAGCTGTTTAGAAGACGAGGGTCCATCTAATGAGTATCCTTTATACCAATCTGGACCTAAAGCAGAGCCCATTACACAACTCTTATTATCTGTTACTTTAGTTGAAAATATTTGCCGTTTTGACACTGAACTGCTCTCGTCATTGTCATTATTACTACCACTTTTACTCTGTAAAGAGTCCAAAAGAAACTTGCTGGCAACACTGTCAACAAATACTGACGAGATGGTCTGATCCTTGATAACCCAGCTGACATGACATAGCTTAGCTGCAAAAACCAGTTCCGACGCTATTCCGCCGTTACCCACCACAGTTATATGTTTGCAATGTTTGAGTCTGTTCTGTAAATCCTGAACACTCTCTGTGTCCCGTACACCTACCACGTGGGCATTGTTCGGGTAGAGCACTTTAGGGTGGGCTCCTGTAGCTATACACATTTTATCATATGAAACTGATCTTCCATCCGCTAGGACAACAGTCTGTTGTTTCAAATCACACCCAGTGACCACACCACAGATAAAATGGTAATACTGGCCCCTAGGCGTGGAGTCGGTCACATCAAAAGTGTTAATTACTTCGCCCGTTTTCTCCAGATTTGTAACTTTTTTGACCGTTTCTGTTGCAGAGATTAGGGTCACGTCGGCGTGCTGATCGAAGATGTGAAGGTTTTCAGCTACAGTTGTCCCCGCCACACCCCCTCCAATAACTAGGTACCTCATTTCCCTCGACTCTGGAACTTTCTTAATAACCAGTTTATCCTAGGATAAGTTATTGAATTTAGCTGAATTATTGATGGAAAAAGTTTATGGAATATAATCTCAGAATGGTTAGTCTGTTGAAGATTATTGTTGACTCAATTACATACCATGTTTGTAATATTTACAATGTTCCTTGATTTTTAGGTGACCAAAAATCTAGGCCACTGTTAGTTTACTTATTCAACTTTGGGGGGGGGGGGGGGGGGGGGGGGGGGGGTCCAACCCGATGATTCCGATGATTCCGATTCCGATTTTGGCCTCATCAACCCTCATATCGGAAAAATCGGGAAAATTTAAATCTTCCCTCTGAGTTTCTAGGCGATATAGGTAGCTATTTCTGTACTTAAATATGACAAGAAATCGATTGGTGGTGGTCCCAGAACCCCAAAATGGTTTCTTGTTCCAAACAAGAATCGTTTCGTCCGAAAAACAACACACTGTCGTACCAACTCTTGTTTGACAGAAACATCCACCCCGGTCCACAATTGAAAGAGGTACGGTTGGTAATAACAATCGTAACAAATAGCGAACGCTTTAGTAACTTTTGATTTAAATTGTCACCACAATTTGTGACAGGCTATCTGCAGAAATGGGAAGCACGGTTAATGACCATGGTCCTTTCTCAAACTTCCAATCCTCAGTTAGATACAAAGAATAGTCTACACAATTTTTAATGACATTAAAAGGGATGAAAATCACTTTATTTATCAAAATCTTTATTTATCATGTAACAACTTTTACATAGTACTGGAGAGTAAAACTCTGTTAAACAAAAAAATTCTCAAGCACATTTTGAGTCAGTAACAGTAACATGTCAATATGTTACAGACTCAAATGCGTTTAAAAACATTTTAGTAACAATAAATTGTGTAAACTGATGAGGAGGAGGAGGAGGACTGAAGAAGAGGAGGACTGAGGAGGAGGAGGAGGAGAAGGAGGAAGACTGAGGAAGAGGAGGACTGGGGAGGACTGACGAGGAGGAGAAGGACCGAGGGGACTGAGGAGGAGGAGGAGGACTGAGGAGGAGAAGGACTGAAGAGGAGAGGGAGGACTGAGGAAGAGGAGCAGGATTGGTGAGGAGGATGAGGAAGAGAAGGACTGAGGACGGGGAGGGGGACTAAGAGGACGCGAGGGTTAAGGACGAGGAGGACTGAGGACGAGGACGAGAGCGAGGACGAGGACCGAGGACTGATAAGAAGGAGAAGCAGGAGGAGGACTGAGGATGAGGAGGAGGAGAAGGAGGACTGGGGGAGGACTGAGGAGGAGGAAAAGGACTGGGGAGGAAGACTGAAGAGGACGAGGACGACGACGAGGAGGATGAGGACGAGGACTAAGGACGATGAGGACGAGGACTAAGGACGATGAGGATGAGGACGAGGACTAAGGACGAGAAGGAGGACGACTGAGGAGGAGGACTGATTAGGAGGAGAAGGAAGAGGAGAAGGAGGATGAGGAGGAGAACTGAGGAGGAGGGGGAGAAGGAGGAAGACTGAGGAGAAAGAGGAGGACTGGGGAGGACTGAGGAGGAGGAGAAGGACCGAGGAGGACTGAGGAGGAGGAGGACTGAGGAGGAGGAGGACTGAAGAGGAGAGGGAGGACTGATGAAGAGGAGTAGGATTGGTGAGGAGGGGGAGGAGGAAGACGAGAAGGAGGAGAAGGAGGAGGACTGAGGACGGGGAGGAGGAGGAGGACTAAGGACGAGGAGGACTGAGGAGGAGGACGAGAGCGAGGACAAGGAGGAAGACTGAGGAGGAGGACTGATAAGAAGGAGAAGGACGAGGACTGAGGAGGAGGACTGAGGATGAGGAGAAGGAGAAGGAGGACTGGGGGAGGACTGAGGAAGAGGAGGACTGGAGGAGGACTGAGGAGGATGATGAGGAGGAGGACTGAGGATGAGGAGGAGGAGAAGAAGGACTGGGGGAGGACTGATGAGGAGGAGGACTGGGGGAGGACTGAGGAGGAGGAGGACTTAGGAGTAGGAGGAAAAGGAGGAGGAGGACTGAGGAGGAGGAGGAGAAGGAGGAGGAGGACGAGGAGGAGGAGGAGGAGGAGGAGGACTGACGAGGAGGAGGATGAGGAGTAGGACTGAGGAGGAGGACTGATGAGGAGGAGAAGGAGGAGGAGGAAGACTGAGGAGGATGAGGATGAGGACTAAAAACGAGGACTCGGAGGATGATAACGAGGGCTAAGGAAGAGGACTGATTAGAAGGAGAAGGAGGAGGAGGACTGAGGAGGAGGAGGATAAGGATGAGAATGAGGAGGAGGAGGAAGAGGACTGAGGAGGACTGATGAGGAGGAGGATAAGGAGGAGATTGAAGAGGAGGAGGAAGAGGATGACTCAGGAGGAGGACTCAGGAGGTGGAGGAGGATGAGGAGGACTGAAGAGGAGGAGGAGGAGGACTGATGAGGAGGAGGAGGAGGAGGACTCCAGAGGAGGAGGACTCAGGAGGAGGAAGAGGAGGAGGAGGACTAAGGACGAGGACGAGGACGAGGAGGAGAAGGAGTAGGACTTAGGAGTAGGAGGAGGACTGAGGACTGAGGAGGACTGAGGAGGAGGATGAGGAGGAGGAGACTGAGGAGGAGGAGGAGGAGGATGATTAGGAGGAGGACTGAGGAGGACTGAGGAGGAAGGCTGAGGAGGACGAGGAGGAGAAGGAGGACGACTGAGGAGAAGGACTGATTAGGAGGAGAAGAAAGAGGAGAAGGAGGAGGATGAGGAGGAGGAGGAGGAGGAGAATGAGGAGGAGGACTGGGGGAGGACTGAGGAGGACGATGAGGACGATGACGAGGACGATTATGAGGAGGACACAGGATGAGGACTGATGAAGAGGAGAAGGAGGACTCAGGAGGTGGAGGAGGCTAGGATGAGGAGGAGGACTCAAGAGGAGGACGACTATGAGGAGGAGGATGAGGAGGAGAACTCAGGAGGAGGACTCAGGAGGTGGAGGAGGATGAGGAGGAGGACTGAGGATGAGGACGATTATGAGGAGAAGGACTGGGGGAGGACTGAGGAGTAAGAGGAGGATGACTGAGGAGGAGGATGAGGAGGAGGACTCAGGAGGATGATTCAGGAGGTGGAGGAGGATGAGGAGGAGGACTCAGGAGGAGGAAGACGACTATGAGGAGGACTGAGGAGGACTGATGGGAAGGAGAAGGAGGAGAAATGAGAGGAGGAGGAGGAGAAGGAGAAGGAGGAGGACTAAGAGTAGGACTGAGGAGTGAGGAGGAGGGGACTGAGGAGGAGGGTGAGGAGGACTGAGGAGAAGGAGGAGGACGAGGAGTCAGGAAGAGGACTGAAGAGGACTCAGGAGGAGAAGGACTCAGGAGGAGGAGGAGGACTGATGAGAAGGAGGAGGAAGACTAGGGAGGAGAAGGAGGAGGAAGACTAGGGAGGAGAAATGAAAAGGAGGAGGAGGAGAAGGAGAAGGAGGAGGAGGAGGACTGGGAGTAGGACTGAGGAGGGGGGACTGAGGAAGAGGGTGAGGAGGACTGAGGAGAAGGAGGACGAGGAGGACGAGGAGTCAGGAAGAGGACTGAAGAGGATTGAGGAGAAGGACTCAGGAGGAGGAGGAGGACTGATGAGAAGGAGGATGAAGACTAGGGAGGAGGAGGAGGACATCTAAATGTTTTGTCTGTTTTTGTCCGTCCTACGTTTTGTCCGTTTTAAAAATATAGGTTACCGAACGGACACAAAACATGATTCCCCAGCCAAGCATGTGTTACGATACAAATGTACTTGACTATACATTTAAGGTGCAGTGTACTAGTGATATTATGGTATGTTTGAAGACCGGACCACAAAATATAACCCGGTACCTAGTGTTGTTACTGTTAGTTTGTAGTTGTACTAATACATAATAACAAGTAACATGGATAGAATCAATGAGCAGAAACAATCGATCTCACAAGAGACCAAGTCCAAAGCACTCGGGTCTGGGAGTACATGATAACTCCAACTAGTAGTGAGCATACTAGCCCCTGCAGTGGAAATACACATAAAACATACTATTGGAATGTCCAATTGTTTCGTTTTCATATAGCATACATAGCATATGTAGGGGTTCTGGTTAAATTATGTCACTTCTGAGAGCTTTTAGAGATTGATTCAGTAAATTTCTCAATTTTCCGATTCCGATTTTGGCCTCATCAACCCTCATATCGGACATCGGGTTGGACCCCCCCCCCCCCCCCCCCCCCCCCCCCAACTTTGGGGCATAGTAATTTAACATTCCGAAATTAATTCTGATCGACCATAAACTTTGTTAATTACGTCGAATCAATCAAACGATTTAAACAAAAATATTAAAGAAAAAAGGTAATAAAATTCAAAAGCTAACAGGTTACATAATATACACCTAACACATACGCAATAGATAAATCAGATTTCTACAATAAATTAATGGTTTGATGAATAATAAATTACTACTGTTCAATAAATTATCTACAATAAACATGAAGCTTATTATGTCTAATCAAAAGGCTGCAGCCTGCAGCACTCAAATTACATAATCACATAATATGGAAGCCATAATTTGATTAAATTTAAACTAGCAGGGGATTGTGATATCAATTACATCCGTTACAAAATGAATATCATCATTACCATGTCTTGGACTCTTCTAACCCCAGACGCAATATTTTGAAGGACGTTTAATTGATCAGTTAGATAAATTCTAAATGAACTTAATGTTCCGCTAAAGAAACTTGGTCCGGGATTAGCAGGTCTGGTGTTTGGTTGTACAAGATAAAAGTTGGCACCTACAAAATGATTCGATGATAAACAAAACCTAGTGATAGCAAACAATCACAATTCACAATTCACAAATACAAGCTAAGTAGCATGATATTATATGCAATCAGTTGACAATCATGTCGGTACAGTTAGTAACTTGATACTAAAGGAAACATCTAAGGGCGACAGGGGCGTGGGATAGTTCTTAGCTGGTATTTCAATGCGTCAAGTTAATAGTTTTTGCGATCATAATAGAAAATAATTAGGGTCACTAAAAGTAAACTATATTAAGGTCAGTGTGAGGGTCACTCACTTAATATAATATCATTATAATTAATTATACGTGATATGTAATAACTAATACCTATATTGTAAAACTATTTAAGTATTTTATGAGTGAAAACTTCATAATTTAAACATACACGTGATACATGTGATAAACGAAAATTTAAAAGGGTCACTAAAAAGTAAAATGTGTGAGGGTCACTCACTTAACATATCATAATAATAATATACATAATTTAAACTATTACACATAACTATTGAACCATTTTGTGAGAGCAAACTAATATAAATTCATAACCAGACATCATTTAAAAAATTTATAAAAGAAAGAGAGGCTTGGCCTTGGTGGCCCACGGGCCACGAGAGGATAGCATGTGGATGCTTTGCCTACCTCTGGGGTATGGCAGTCTTATGGGAGGATGCCGGGGGAATTGGTTGTGCCAAAGTAGACATCATGTTAACGATCAATAGCAATTTAAATGAGATCATTCCTAATGTTTTGAACAGCTTTTGACTTGATGAGCTTCATTATTAAATATGCGACCAAAAACATTTAAGAAATATTTTTGATCTTGCCCACTGAAGATATACTAGTTCTAACAAATTTCAGAACTTGATCGCCAAATTTATATGAAATAATAAGATTGGCAGCAACAAAAATATCGCCCATGTTGGGTTGATTTGGAATTTTTAGGCCGACCACAATTGGGCGTGGTCACTCAACAGGCACTGTTAGGCGTATGGGGTCTGTGATCCCTTCAAAAGTTTAGTTTGGTCATGAACGTGAATTTGTTGGCCAACTATTATCTCAAAATAAAATTTCGGGCACTTTCACATAAATTTCAGGATGACGCCCTATGAAGCCATTTTATCTTTAAAAGACCCCTTTATCTCAATATTTGGACGAATATGATATGAAATCAAATGTACATGCACAAAAAATATGATGTCAAAGGTTTGTAATTTGACACGAGAATAATTCTTAAAACCCTCCCATTGATTTTATAAATAGTTACCATGTAACAAAATGACCTCATCGAAGCTGCTATTGATCTACTATATAAGTTACACAGAACCTAAAAAAATGTCCACCTCAACAAGGTGTAAAAGAATTAGTCTTGAAGTTGACGAGGAAGATGATGACAGCACCCAAACATGAACCTAACTGAGTGACTATACCACAGAACAACAGCGTGTTCTCGCCGTACTTCTGTAGCACACTTGCCACGTTCACTTTGATGTAGGAGGTAGATCCAGTCCACAGAATGTTGAGCAGGACGATCAGGAAGGAACCCCATCCTGTACCAACGAGCCAAGGAGTCGGAGACAGTGTGGCTGTGTAAATGATGACTGTGGCAATGAACACTGAAACACTGCACAGGATTCCAAGGACAGGAGGTCTTTTGCAGGCAACGAAGAAAGCAAGGAAGCAACAAATTGGGTTGGTAAAAAGCGCCAGCTCAGTAGCCAGATGATAGGCTGTAGGACCATAAGGCAGACAGGCATACGACAATATAGCAGGGATAACTCCATTTCCGAGGGCAGAAACAATGGCAATGATGGTGTAAAGCTGGATAAAATTCCATTTAGTATCAACAAGCTCCGACCTTCTTTCACCACAAAACACATCATATACTCGGATGTTGGCCAACTTTGTCTCACTAGGATCCAAAGCAGATGAAGCAGTATCTTCTGGAGTTGCAGCTCTTTCCTGATCAGGTGATTGTGCAGGAAGAGTGCTTGACACAGCAATGTTGTCATACCTCTCATTTAGACTCACATCTAAATTATTAAGGAAATAAAATGCGATTCCTGAGACAGCTGTCAACGTAGATACTAATCCAAAGTATACATTTACCCCAAATCTTGGTCCATCAGAGGACGCACTACCAGAGGCGTTGTAGCAGGTGTCTCCCCCAGTTCCTTGAGCCAAAGCTAGCATGCTTGGCATGACACCACTCATTCCTTCACCAATGTAAAAGGGAATCATGTAGCTCGAAGGGTATTTGGCCATGAAGGGAAGGAAAACCACAGATGAAGTGCAATCCACTAAAGCAAATAAGAACGAGAGGAATAAAAGCGCGAGACTCGATTGCTTTGACCCTATCTTAACCTCCTTGTCCCAGAATTGGGATAACAAAATGGCAGCAGCAAAACCGATCAGAAGGATCAAATATGCAGTGTACCTCAGACTAGCCAGATCCTTTTTGTACTGCCGCATAATGGTAAATATAATCGGTCCAATGTTTGCAACCTGAAACATATACATTACAGCCAAGATATTGGTTGTTATAGAAACAGGGATGATATTTAACATATATTTTTTAAGAAACATTCTGAAAGGCATGTACGGGTAGTCTATGAAGAATTTCATAGCACAGTGGTACCCAACCAAACCACAAATATAATGCTTATTTACTGCTATAAATTAAGTTAATACTAAGGTAGAAAGACATCGAAACCAACCTGGATTATGAGAACAAGATATGTTGGTAGATCCCACTTTTCAGGTAGTTTTGAGACCAGTAAAGGAAGTTCTGCCCAGACTCCATTGATAGCAATCCAGCTACCCATACCAAACAGGATAATCAATAATGATACCGATGGTTTCATCTGCATAGCCATGGTTAACCAATCCTAGTGAGGTTACATAAATTAAGCTTGTGATGGATTGACGTATATAACCAACAAATTTGTAACTGAAAATAACTGAAATAGCTCAAACTTTTCGAATGATTAAATTAACGACAATTATCATTTAATACGGTTAAAGACCGTTCACATAAATTTATATTATTTGATTGTGGCGCCTTACTGTCGTTAAATACAGTTTAGTACCTTGTGAATTAAAGAAATCAATTAAACTATAACTACCAAAACCATAAGAATAATAAATACCATAACCAGCAATTATAAATCACATTGACTCAAGGATAATATTACCATAGCAAAACATAATAATTACATCACATAATAATTAGTTAATAATAAAACATTAAACGAATAATTTAAATTGTCTTTATGAATAAAATAATAACTATCCAACAGAGATGGTCACTCACAGTTATTAATCCAGGCTAGTGTGTCTAGCAATAACATAAAAGGGTCAATAAAATATAAAAATGCTGCTCTTGAGGGTCAACATTAAAACGTATCTGATTCTAACAAGGTGTGAAGGAATTAGTGTAGGAATTGATCAAGAAGATTGTGATGGCACCTAAACATGCTCCTAACTGAGTGACTATTCCACAAAACATGAGAGCATTCTCACCGTACTGCTGCAGCACACTCGCCACGTTAACTTTGATGTAAGATATGGTTCCAGTCCACAAGACATTGAGAAGGATGATAAGGACAGACCCCTCTGTGGTACCAACAAGCCAAGGACTCGGAGACAGTGTGGCTGTGTAAATTATGACTGTGGCAAAGATCACTGAGACACTGCACAGCATTCCAAGGATAGGAGGTCTTTTACAGGCTACAAAGAAAGCCAGGAAGCAACAAATTGGGTTTGCCATAAGTCCCAGCTCAGTAGCCAGATGATAAGCAGTAGGACCATAAGGCAAACAGGCATACGACAATATGGCAGGGATAACTGCATTACCAAGAGCAGAAACGATGATGATGACAGAATATAGCTGAACTAAAGTCCATTTAATTTGAGTAAGCTCCAAACTTCTTGTTCCAAAAAACACATCATAGACTCGAATGTTGGTAGACTTTATCTCATTAGGATCTGGAGACAAAGAAGCATTCTCTTCAAGAGTTGGAGAACCATCTTGCTCTGGTGACTGGATGGAGGGACTATCTGGTTGTATGTTACTATACCTTTCATTTCGACTGAAATCCAAGTTATTTAGCAGGTAAAATGCAGTTCCCGAGATGACAACAAAGATTGATAGTAAACCAAAATACAAGTTAACTCCAAATCTGGGCTCATCAGATGAATCACTGGTAGAGACATTACTGCATGTTCCGCCAACTGTTCCTTGTGCTAAAGTCAGCATACTAGGCATGACTCCACTCATACCTCCACCAATATAAAAGGGAACCATGTAACCTGAAGGATACTTTGCCATAAAGGTGAGGAAGACAACAGATGAAGTGCAGTCCGAAAGAGCAAATATGAATGACAGGAATAATAGTGGGAGACTTGACTTCTTGGATCCTATTTCAACCACTTTATCCCAGAATTGTGACAGTAGAATTGCTGTCACAAAACCTAGCAGGAGGATGCTGTATGCAGTGTACTTCAGACTTGCAAAACTCCTTTTATAGTGACGCATAATCGTAAAAAATATCGGCCCAATGTTTGCTACCTGAAAATATTGACATATGTACAATACAGTTTATTTTTTTCTTGTATGTACCGCAAACAATTACTACGTCTTCATTTTGAATATTCCACAACCATTATGAAGAGCCCCCTCCCGGATTGCAACATTGCCATGTTACAAAAATAATCGCTGCGCTAACAAAATATGCGCCATTCTTAGCAAAATATTTGCCATGTTATGATTTATTTGCAATGCTGCGCGCGATGATGCAAATATTTCATAAGGAGTTACAGTTTACACCCTGGCACAAATAACAAATAAATCATGAGGAGGCAAATATTTTGCCATACGCATTTGAGCGTTTGTCTGATACTTTACTAAGAAGGCAAATTTTTCATGCCACAATATTCGCCTCCTTATGAAATAATTTTTGTAACATGGTAATGTTGCAATCTGGGAGGGGGCTATGAAGGATAAAAATTACCAAGCAAGTGTTTTAAAATATAAATCTATAAAAATGTAACACTGGCTCAAACCTGAATTATAAGAACGAGATATGTAGGTAGATTCCATCCTTCAGGTAGTTTTGCAACCAGCAAAGGAAGCTCTGCCATAACTCCATTAATAGCAATCCAGCTACCCATACCAAATAGGGTAATCAGCAGTGATACTGATGGTTTCATCTGGGTGTCCATCATGTACCTATTTTCAATCCTAAAAATATGGTTTAAGTTAAGCACAGCAAAACTCATGATACACCAAGAAGTGTCATTAGGATGAGGATTGATTGAGGAGGCACCAAAGATAAAATTTACAAACATTCTGCTTTCTGGCAGGACATGGTGAAAAAAGAGGCTTCGATCAAATAATGGCGTATTAGGTAAGATTTTTTTTTTTTTTTTTTTTTTTTTTACCGGCTTATCCTCTAAAGTGACCTAATAACAAACTAAAAAACGCTGCTGTATTATTTCTTCGTAAAAAGTTGCTCTAACCAGATCCCTCTGGCGTGCAGTAGCGCACGGCCAAACAAGTGCGTCACGCAGTACGCGTAGACACATGGCTATGTGAACGTAAAAAGCACAATAGCATAAGCATCTTTTGTCGAGGTACACCTCAAATGTAATCTAAAGCATAGTATATTTTAGCACTATGTTGACAGTACACTTCAATGTAGATGTACTATGATTGTACAGGGTGGGCCAAAAGTCAGTGGGCATACGTTGGCCTTAATAGCTCCACTGTGTTTTATATTTGAGAACTATTGCTTCGCAGATGGCATACTGTACTTACTGGTTCGAGGATTTCGTCGTCAAAATTTGAAAATTCGAATATTTTAGACCACGCCCATTCAATATTAAAACACTTATATTGTTTTTTCTGAACATGCTGAACGCCTATTTTTTTAGAGACGGTAGATTATCAAATGTTGCATATATGATCTGAAAACATGAGGCAAAACGTACTAGAAACGACGAAGTTATCAAGCATTTTGTGTATCTCGTTAACAACATTGACCGGGTGATTTAACTGGGCCGCGCTCAGCCTGTCATTCCGCCTAATCTCTATGTTTATGATCATGATTAGATAGCCTGAGGTCCCCAGGTAAGGGTGATTATGTGACACCGCGACTCGACACCTTAATTGGGCACCCTTAACAATTCCCATAATATTTAACGGGGTCACCTAATCACGTGATTAGGTAAACCAATCACCTGATCACAAAGGATTTCAAGGATTTCAAAGGGGATTTCAAAGGATTTCAAAGGATTTTCAAAGGATTTCAAAATAAAATGATCATTACAATAAACATTGTGTCGGATCTAAATTTAAAAAAATAAAGATAAAATGAAAGTCAAAAACGAAAAAACCGAAACCTGTCCTGAAAATGCACGGTTGACGGTTATAGTCTAAAGAGTTTAAAAACCGAGCTATTCTAAAAAGGAATGTTCATGACGCGAACAACCAGTCCATTGTGTCCATGCCTAAGATCCACACATAAATTCCACACTAAATCAAAAGTGTGAAACGCACACGAAAAATAACACACTGTCGGATCCACGCATGTTGAGTCCGTGAGTCATGTTGTTAGTCCTTCCTTTTCTTTTCTGTCACTCGGGGGAACCTCCGCTTGTTCACTTTACTCAAGAATCTGGCAGTTTCTCTGATCAATAGGATATCCTTGAAGAGGTCCGCAAAGGTCTCCGCTCCAGAGGTGATCATGGTTCTCGCCTGCTGACCCGTGTTTCGCCTCAGGTCGTCGTAAAGCGAACAATCCGTGAGAACGTGTTTCTCATCTTCAATGATCGGCTCAAACATTGGTAGTTCGGCCAGTATACCGACAGCTTCAAGGTCTGATGAAGAACAGTGCTTACAAATGCGACTGAGCGGATTTTCACGGTTGATGGTGTATCTACCGGTCTCGATGTTGAACTTATGAGCACTCATTCTGAACTGCGCCAGCCGCTTCACCTCTTCTCCACTGAGCTGCAGGTTCAGGTACGCTTCAGCTGTAAATTCACTTTTGATAGTGTTGTAGAAACTGAGCTTCCGGTTGTTTTGCCGCTCCTCGTTCCAACAGTTAATAAAAGTACTACGTAGTGCTGTTTTGAATTGGTTGGGGTAGGTCAACCTGCGAGATGATACTGACTGAAGGCTTTGTCGGAGATCTTCTATACCTTTGTACCATGGCAGATTGAGTGTGCGTTGTTCTATGAACGCCTGTCTGGCTAGACTTGTGCAACCAGCTCTGTCGAATTAGCTTCTGAGACCTTTTTGCTTCAGTTTGTTCTGTGCTACTGCTGAAGAACCGTTGAGGGTAAAGGTTATCCCGAGGTAGCAATATTCTCGAACTGATGTGATGTTGGTTTCGCCGAGTTGGAATGTCAGACTCTCTTTAAGGAGCCTCCCGGAACGGTTGAACACCATCACTGCCGTTTTTCCGATGTTAACGGTTAGTCCCCATTCGATACAGTAACTGTGTAAAACGTTTAGAAGTTTCTGTAGTCCAGTATGATCAAGGGCAAGAAGTATAAGATCATCAGCCCAGAGGAGATGAGTGATATTAACATTATTCAGTTCAGGGACGTTGACTTCCTCAGCGTTATCCAGATCTAGGGAGAGTTGGTGGATGAAACACTTGAACAGCTCAGGAGACATCGGGTGACCTTGCTCAGTCCCACAGTGAATGTCGATTGTCTCTGACAATCTGTTCAACAGTTTGATTTTTGCTGAGGAATGTGAATACATCTGCTCGATACATTGAAAGTATCGACCTCTTACTCCTAGCTCCCAGAGTTTATAGAGCATGGAATCTCGGCACACAGAGTCGAACGCCTTCGCGTAGTCGACGAAGCATCCATATAGCCTCTTTTTCCGTTGCGTTACATACTTTTGGATGCAAGTTGAGAGTGTTAGTATGTGGTCACTCGTCTGTGCTTTTTTACAGAACCCTAGCTGGTTTATGGTGTCTGGACAGTTTAGTGACCGGAATGTGAGTAGGCGCTGTAATAAGATAGTTGAAAACAGCTTCCCAACATTGCTCGCCACAGCTATCGCCCGATAGTTGTTCGGATCGTATACACTCCCCTTTTTGTGCAAGGGGGTAACTAGAGAGGTCGTCCATGGATACTCCCCGAGTTTCAAACAGTGGTTGAACAGGTTAAGAACAGCTGACAGCATTGGTTCATCTGACGAAATGAGGAACTCATTCAGGATTTTATCTTCGGCGATGGCTTTCCCTTTCTTAAGGCCTTTGATGGCGGTCCGAAGTTCCTCTATTTCGATATCTTTGTCCAGAACTTCCACGAGTTCATGAACACGAAGTTCAGTCTTTCTGCGTTCCGTGAAGTCAGTAGTTTCTTCATTCATCATATCGAAAACGTCCAGCTTTGTGCCATTTGAGGAGAAGCTTTTAAGTTTCTTAAAGCGACTCCAGTTTATGTCGCGCCCCTCGTCAACATCACGACAAAGAGATTCCACGAACTTGGCCTTCTTCTGTCTCACAAGCTTTCGATATTCGCGGCGTTTGTTGTAGTAGCTGTCTCTCAGTTCTTTATCAAGAGGACTTTTACCGTATGTTTTAGCTAATCGATTTAGTTCACGTTTTTCGATGATGCAGGCAATATCAAACCATGGAGACTTCGGTTTTGCCCTTTTGTATCCCCGAGTTTTCCTATTGAGGGGTTTTTGTTTATGTTTTCTATGTCTTGGTAGAGCCTGATCAGCCATATCACGATAAATGCCGACGATGTTTTCATTGAGCTTAATGACATCCTCCTTTTTTACGCAAACAGCTTCAACCAGTTCCGTGATTCTGCTTGCAAACTGGGGTTCTTTTTGGACATCTAGGAACTGCTGTTTATTCTCTGAAGCATTCTCGTCCCATTTGTGTTTCATTGGGGCTGGCTGGAGTGAGGATAGAATTTCGTCCGGATCAATTATATAATTATGACTCAGTTTCAGTGTGCATAAGCATGGGCGGTGGTCTGAGAATTTCGTAAGATCTAAGACCTTAAGACTTTGCACCGATTCCCTTAGCATGGGGGATGCTGTTACGTAGTCTACAACGCTGTGTCCATTGTAATTAATTGAGGTGGGTTCCCCAAAGATGTCTCCTAGTGTATCACCATTAAGAATGCTAAGGTTCAGACTGGATATGAAGTCCAGAAAAAGTTTTCCCCTTGGGTTTACCACATTGATGATGATGAAAATCTAAATATTATAGGCTACAATGAGCATTTTAGTAACAAATAGTATGAAAGATCTGAAATTTAAAAAATAAAAACCCTAAAAATATTTACACCCCAAGTTAAAAATATAAATACTTTATTTCTAAAAACACTATCAAATAAGGTGGTTGATCAGTCACTTGTGTCATTACGACGACGTCGTTATATCAAGTCAAAATATTCCCCAAAATAATTTAAAGACGATTCCCGATCAAAAACGTTTTTGGTAGAAAAAGTTTTTCGAGTTACGTAAATATCAATGGAGATGCAATTTTATAGATAAAATCAATAAAGCTTAAAAGTGAAGCCCAAAACAAAGTAACACACCCAACAATGGTTGAGATGTGATACATCCAAGCAGTCTAAGTCGACAATAATATCATGTGAGTTAATATAAAACTAGCTCCAATGTTCATGTAACCAGACAGGTTCTACCAATCCGAAGAGTAAAGTAGATTTCCATTCAGTCAGTAGTAAACAGTGTCTAGCACTGGTCGTCCTAAGAGGGACTCCCCATTTATTACAGGCCTGGGTAAGGCCGCGTACATACCAATGGATAGAGCATTGGCCGTCTAGTGTAGGGACTAGACTCCCCAGCTAGGCGTGGGTGGGCCCTGTAGAAATACAGATCTTCCTTCTTAGCTTGAGGTCATCATTATTCACACATTCACTGCAGATTTGGATGAACTTTGGATCTCTGGAGCAGTTTAGGATCGCCAAGTGTGGAGTACCCAGATCTTCCAGATTGGAGACCTCGTTACCAATACTGAGAAGATATGAGGCTTGGTCCCTAAGGTCTTCGTCAACATGACCACAACTAGTCAGTATATGAATTGCAGTTTGTTCTTCATGACCACAGGAGCAATAGGGAGATGGCCATTTCAGTCTGTCAAGGACAAAAAGAAATGAGTTTAGAAGATTGTTTTTGTAAAACAAGCTCATGACTAGAACCTCAGTTTCTCTGCTAGTATGATAAGGGAACTTCAGGGGG